ATATGGGAGGCGGTCAGTAGAAAAGGGGGAAATCTAAATTTTGGTCAAAATTTATATTATTAGACCACTTGGCTAATTTCGATCATGTGCACAAATTTGGCATAAAAATTAACAAAAATTTTGGATTTCCCCCTTTTCTGCCTCCCATATATTTCCTATTCAGTTAAATTTACAAAAATTTCTTTTATTTTTTGTGTCTTAATTTTTTAATTCTTTATCGCAATTTTTAATTTCTTCATTTTTTTTTCCATGGGTAAACAAAAAATTTATCACGTAGAAATCATAACACTCGTATACAACAACGGCAAAACTGGATAAAGTTTTATTATACATAAGAAATAAAAAAAAATGAATAAGAAGTTCAAAATCTATAAATGAAACCTGAAGAAAAGGTTATTGATGAATTAACCAAATCCAAACGTGAAAAAATAATTTATTGATATCTATATTGAACAAATAAAAAGCCTCGAAAATGAATTTAAACACATAACTATCACAACCACAACAATCATAGTCACTTTCACAACCATCACGGCCATTTTTCAAAAGTATCGATGAATACTTTTATTTTTATTTTTGATAGAATTTTATTCATTATGTAAAATTCATATTTAGAAAATCAATCAATAAAAATTGATACGAATTATTGAGTTGATTCATAAATTATGTATAAAACCGAAAAGAAGGCTTTGCAAATTTAGTATCAAAATTTCTTTTTTTAAGTTTTATATCAAAAATTTTTTATTTTGATTCTTTTAATTTTGTTGTATGTCGGTTTTTTTATAGAAATAAATTTTTATCCTTATAAAGATAATCATAAAGATCCAACGAAATAAATATATCAATAATATATCAAAAAAATATTACATACAAAAATTGAGAAATAACAAATCGAAAATGAATATCAGTTAGTTAATTTAATTTTAATATAAAAGAACATAAAAGCTAAACACCTCAAACTACCTCAGGAAAAGTCTGTCAATTACAAATCAAAGAAAATGAAGATTTCAACTGACGTCTTTAATTTCCGACGCCAATATCCAATCAGAATCGTTATCATATAAAAAATGATCGATACCCTTTAGGGAAAGTTTATTTTATTTGAAATTCAAAAAAAATTGCTTCGGACCTAACAATAAATAAAATGAAATTAATTCTAAAATTAGAAATTAATATCTGGATCTTCTATACAGGTGCATTTATCGTTATAAATATAGTATATTTTTAACTTTGAGCATTATAAGATCTTCATAAATTAAAATCAATGAAAAAATCATTACATACAGTAGTATATAAATAAATTTAAAAAGTCAAATAAATAATGAAAGAACATAAACCGAATGTTAAAGAATGACCCAATTCATTTTTGCCGGGCACAAAAAATCTTGATTTGCAAATATTAAAGTATTGTCAAGTACGAAATAAATAACAAAGAAAAAGATTCCTTTTCCGGATTTATAATGGGAACGAATGAATTTCTTGGTTGACAGAACTCAAACAAAGATTCCCTTTTCTGGATTTTGTTCCTTGAATATGAGATTCTTATCCACGTTGAGACTTTATTTATATTTCATATCCACCATACGACATTATTTATATTCGTTGCTTCGTTCGTGTAGAGTGTAACAAAAAATTTTGCAATGTTTTTTTTTATATAAATATATAAAGCATGAAACACTTGTCTGCAAACCTCATCTCTAAAATCATTCATTCCCATTTATTCACTTCCTTTCACTCACTCCCCACTCTCTTAACGAATCCTACTATATTACCTTGCACCATGAAAACCCTATTAATCTCTTTCAACCAACGTAAACATTCATTTAACGCGAAGTGGAACCTTGATCTCCATGGGTTTCTCACTCGTGATGAGTTGGAAGGGCGGGTCAAGGAAATTAATACTCGGATCCGCGACTATCCGCTATTAAATGTGAGATTAGCGCGAATTGTGATGTATTGCTCAATCGTGGTTATGCTGTTACTCAGTATTGTATTCGCTTCGAAAAGTATATTTCTTTTTGGCGTATGTTTCATACTCTCTCTTATCGGATGTTTTGGGGGCGGATATTATATTGATGGCTTAGCAAAACGTCGCGCCAAAATTTTTACTGATGCCGTGAGAAATTTGTTCAATGAATACAACAATCGAGACAACCCAACCGCCAACTGGAGTATTGAGTGGTGCACCACCATCACCGCGTACAAAGCAAAGAAGGGGTCGATCAAGCCGAGATTTGCCGATTACGTTGTGATAGAGCTCGATATATCGGATGCGCTATCTACCCTTACGGCCAATACCGTTTACGTGAACCTTCCTATTTCAAATACAAAACAACAAGCATTCACTCCGCACATGGCTGGTCCTTATAACGTATAATACCTACTTTCTTTTTTTGTAACCAACCAATTATTTTAACCTTTATATAAATAATAGTAAATAATGTACTCAATGTATTTTTATAAATATTAATAAAGTAAAAGGGATTGTCCCTCTAGCAATTTTGTTAAAAAAAAAATTTATTAGATTAGAAATACTAGTGTGTAAAATGTCACTATGCACACTGTTATTGACTTTCAATATTAAAAGCTTTTCCATACTGCTGGTATATTCTTAGTTCTTAAGAAGGTAATTCCAAAGATTTGTTAGATACATTTTTGGATTACATTACCCTCGAAAACAATGTTTGTCCATGTTGTATCGCATCCCGAAGATAATTCTATCTTATAATCAAAGTTTGCCCTGAAATTGATTAATTTTTTTTTAATGCCATTTGTAAAAATCAAAACCTTATTTATAACGTCCCGTAATTTGGGTGACAAACGTGCATAAGGTTTTGACTGATTTAGTTAATTGAATGAGAAATAAATAAATGCAAGATTTAAGTTTCTGCTTTTATTGTATTACATCTATAATGATTGTCAAACCTGAAACGGGTAAGATATTCTATTTTCGGTCACCGATACAAAATCTGTTTTTTTTCTATAAAAGTCTTTCATATCGGTTCGAATTTTTCAAGTTAATATAAACTTGAATAATTTTCTTTTTAAACCTTTCTTTTTTTTATCCTTTTCCTTTCTTTTCTTTTTTCTTTTCTCATGACTTGTTTTTTTCCACTTCCATCGAAATTAAACATATATTAAAGAAATTTAAGATATAAACATGAAAACTTGTAATTTGATATCACACTACTTTAAATTGCTCATAGTAGGTTTATTAATTTTAAATTTAGTAGAATTTGCTCCATGTCAAGAAGCGCCATCGGAAGCTTCAAAAGCTCCAAAAGCTCCAACGAATTTAATAATTGAATCTATTGGAACTATAACAAGTATGTTCTTAAGCCTAAAATTTTGCCCTTGTATTATATATATATTATTACCGATATACAATACAAATGACCCTTTTATTACATAGAACAACCTTCTTCTGTAACCGTACCGGAAAACCTTACTGTACCAACCAGTGTTGGCACATGACCGGGTCATTTTACTTTTTTTGAAATGACACCGGTCATTTCGGATGTGACTTATGG